ATTCGATTTATGCTTTGACGCCATTAAGGGCGCCGTCCAGAAGACCCAGGAGAATCAAGAGATTTTGCAGGCTATGCTTCAGTCATTAATTGACCGGGCGCCGGGCGCACCTGGTGCTTCTTCCTCCGCGCCAATGGAGGATTGATTTCCTGTTTCTCATTTTATTTTCCTTTTGCAGTAGTACTACTTTTAGACTTCTTTTGGGCCACATTTGGCATTTCTTTTCCAGTTCTTTTAAACTTTTAACTGCATCTCTTTTGTTCGTTTGCATGGATTTTAGCTTTGAAATAAATTGTAGTTATAGTTAGTAATTTTTGGATTCATTTGATTCTTGCTCTGTATAGATGCTTTTGACAGGTTTTTGATTTCAAGTTTGGGGGTATGCTCTTGGAATTCACAACGTGGCTTATTTTTGCACCGCCACTTTATTCCTCCTCAACTTGGTACTATTGTTCTTTGCATTCTCCAGTTTTCTTTCTAATTCTCTTATCCTTTGTCTTCTCACATTGAGGACAATGTGACATTCAAGTTTGGCAGTGCATGTGCTTTCATTCGTATGATTTTTGCTCATTTTTCTTTTTTTTGATGCTCACAAGTTAATAAAATCATGTTGTTGAAAGCAATGATAGTGTAACCATGGAACTTGTTGCAGGTTGAAGCATGTACTTAATACTTTGTGTATAGAAGCCAAAATAATTTTTGAAAATAAGGAAACTTTTGAAATAAACATGTTGATTCATAGTTGGTTTGTATAAAGACTTCAATTAAATTATTGTCGGATTTCATACTCTTTTATGCTTCACATTGCACATTTGCACACCGAAAACCTAATCGTGAGGCATGCAACCCAAATTGACTTTGATCGGGACTTAGTGATCTAAATTAATGACCCTAATGAATGGATACCCTTGGCAGTTAAAAAAGAAAAAAGAAAAAGAAAAAGCAATCAATAACCAGTCGAAGTTCGTAGCCTTTCCAGCTCGAGTTATTAAGCCCTATGAGTGTTTCTACACTTAACACCCTAAAACCATCTGGTTTAGGAATTGTTGGCCTAACGCTTGTTACATGGGTTGGTTAGAAAGCTTAAAGAACCTAGACATTGCACGGTTATTCAAAAATAAATAAATTTGGTTCGTCAAAGTTCGTAGCCTTTCCAGCCCGAGTTATTAAGCCCTAGGAGTGTTTCTACACTTAGCACCCTAAAGCCATCTGGTTTGGGAGTTGTTGTCCTAACGCTTGCTACATGGGTTGGTTAGAAAACTTAACGGATTTTGGCATTGCACAACCAATAGTATACTTTCTTTTGTGTTGAACAATAAAGTTCTCAATAAGCAACAAAAGTTGCATTATGAAAAAACTATGCCATGGGGACCTCATTTTGAAGGAGATTTAGGGATGTGAAAACGTGTTCTTGGGATTGGAAAAAGAGGGTTAAAGCCGCATATTGGGAATTCAGCCCACCATCAATGAAGTTAGAGTCCATGTTATTCAAGAGATGATAATTGAAGTTTTTATATAGAGCTTAATGATTTATGCATTTAAGATTGAGCTCATTTTTGCCATTTTGATTATTAAGGCTTCATATATGCAAGGTAGTCTGTTTAATGGAACTTCCTCCAATTTTTTTTTGTCATTCCATGTTACATTTGAGTTTCATAGATAAATTTCTTACTTAATGATCGATGTGCCCGCCAACCCCAAACTCTCTGGCCTCTTTCGCGGCACCTTGCACAGCAACCGCAGGAGCCCTCGCGCCCTCCCGCGGGTGCCCGTAGCGCCACCGCGGGCGCCCGCCAAACACTCCAGAAACATCTTCGCGAGCCGCAGCTTCCGCGGGTGCCCGCCAACCCTCTGCAGGCAATTCACCTGCCCCTCTTTTTCAGCATTTTTGTCCCCTTATCTTCATTTTATGTGGTGGAGAATGAACCAGAGGGGGAAGGTCGAGATTTTCAGCATGGGAAGTAGGTTTTGAGTGTATATAGGAGGATATCTCATGATAGATGAGGATCTCATTAATTTTGGAAGGTGTTAGGGAGCAAAGGAGGGAGTTCTTGAGTTCTTGGCTTGTGGGTATCCTATAGGTGCGAAAATGGAGGGGTTCTTCATCATTTTTCCTTCTTCTCTTGCATCCATGAGCAACTAACTCCCTATCTAGGGTGGTGATGAAGCACCATTTTGTAAGCATTGCTTTGTTTTGATTTATTTTTGGGGAGTAATGTATGTATGTAACTTTTCCATGAACTAGAGTACTTCATTTGATGTAATGAACTTTAATATCTATACATGATTATTTTGAGTTAAATCTCTTGTCTTAGATTGTTTTTCTCTTATGATTATATTGCTACATTTTCATAGTGACAATGGAGATGAGTTCATGGAAGTGTTGTTATTGGCATGATACTTAGGAGAATTGATAATCTATTGCTTAGGATCTCCCTTTGATAGATTATTCTTGGATTCTATTTCATGTGCTTACATTATGAGGTTAAGGGCTTGATAATCTTTGGCTTAGTAAGCATGTCCAAGGTTGCATTCTAGTTTAGGTAACCTAAGCATGTAATACTTTGATAGGTTATTCTTGCCTATTGACTTCATATATTTCTTGAGGGGAATGTAATAATTTTGTGTTGTTACATCCCATAGTTGTATATATAAGTTATTCCCCTAAGTAAATCATGTCCTAGCATGCTTATTGATGATTGTGGAGTCACTTCCCTAGTCTCTTCTTTATTATCCCTAGTCTCTTCTTTATTATCCCTATCTTTTTACTTTATTGTTTTATGCAATTTAAATTCACAGCTTAAGTGACAACCAACAAATCCTCTATGAACACCCGGTATCATTCTAAAAAAGACTCTAGACACTTAGGTTGCTATAGATTAGAGCAGTCCCAGTGGTTTGACTTACCCGACCAATAGTCCTATTTTACAATGATTCGTGCTATTGCGAATATTGATTTATTATAGATCGAATTCTCAACCGATCAAGTCCGAACTTGTCGACTGCTCCAATATAGATGGTTGGCGAAGCACACCAACTGGGATCACCCTTGCCAATGTCTCACCCGAGCTCGATGCACTGTAGGCCAAACGGTCAGCATCTGCATTGTGCTCCCGCGGCACTTGCGTGAACTTGATCTTATCGAAATTTCTAGCCTCGTGCATAATGGCAAAACAGTATTCCTCCATAGTCTCATCTTTGGTACCATACTTCCCAGTCACTTACCGAATGATCAGCTGTGAGTCACTGAAAACGACTAAGTTTTTGACTTTTAGTTCCTTGGCTAACCTTAACCCAGCCAATAACGCGTCATACTCTGCTTCATTGTTGGTTGCCCTAAACTCAAGCTTGACTGCTTGGCTGAGCGCAGTGCCCTCTAGCGTTTGCAGTTTGATCCCGATTCCTGTCCCCATTTGATTTGAGGAGCCATCAAAGAAGAGCTTCCATGAGGATTTTTCCGAATAGGCCTCGGGCTCTTCTACATCACACTCTAGTAAGAAATCAGCCACTGCTTGCCTTTTGATGGGCGTTCGGGGTTCATACGTGATATCAAAAGAGCTTAACTCTATCGCCCACTTTGTCATTCGTCCGGACAGATCGGGCTTATGCAGGATCACCCTTATGGGAAATGTGGTCAGAACGACTATTGGATGGGATTCAAAATAGTGCCTTAGCTTCCTTTTTGCGTTTACCAAGGACAAGATTACCCGTTCAGCCTTTGAATATCTTCGCTCTGACTCGGCCAATGTTTTACTTACATAAAAGAATGAGAATTGCTTACCCTCAGCACACCGGATCAGAACACCGCTGGTTGAAATGCTAGACACTCCGAGGTACAAGAAGAGTTTTTCACCTAGATCTGGGGCACTCAAGACTGGTGTGTTCCGCATATATTCTTTTAAATTGTTCAGTGCCTGCCTCTGCTCATTCCCCCAACACTGCTTTCCGTGACTTCTGATTATATCAAAGAATGGTTTGCACCGATCAGATAACTTGGAAATAAACCGACTCAATGCCGCTATGCGCACGGTAAGAGCTTGAACTTCCTTAATAGTGCATGGTTCTTTATTGTTAAGCAGGGCTTCTGCTTGGGTTGGGCTGATCTCAATCCCTCTGTTGTTGACCACATGGCCAAGGAATTGCCCTGACCTCACGCCGAACGAGCACTTTGTCGGATTTAACCTCATTCCATACCTTCTTAATACATTAAACACTTCTCGCAAATGTTTCAAGTGATGTCCCTTCTGTTTGCTCTTTACCACCATATCGTCAAAGTATGCCTCCACTGTTTTGCCCATTTGCTCTTTAAAAATTTTGCTAACTAACCTTTGGTATGTAGCCCCAGCATTTTTCAATCCGAACGGCATGGCCTTGTAATAGTAGATCCCTCGTTCGATGATAAAAAAAGTCTTTTCTTCATCGTTCGGATCTATAGGAATTTGATTATAGCCTGAATAAGCATCAAGAAAAGTTAACCGCTCAAATCCTGTTGTAGCGTCCACCATTTGATCAATCTTTGGAAGTGGAAAGCTATCCTTCGGGCAGGCCTTATTTAGATTGGTGAAATCAATGCAAACTATCCATTTTCCATTATTCTTCTGTACTACGGCCACATTTGACAACCAACTCGGGTATTGTACTTCTCGAATGAACCCAGCCTCCAACAATCGGTTTACCTCCTCAGCGATGATTTGGTTGCGTTCCGGGGCGAATCTCCTCTGCTTCTGCTTCATAGGCCTAACGTTTGGATCAACATTAAGGGAGTGACAAGAGACAGAAGGGTCGATCCCTGGCATGTCTGAATGGCTCAAAGCGAACACGTCTGCATTTTGAGAAAGGAACTCAATTAACTAGCGTTTTTCCTCATATGAAAGTCGCGACCCTACTTTTGTGGTTCGGTCTGGCCTCAATTGATCAATTTGAACTTCATCCAGAGGCTCTTCGGTCAGCATCGTGGACTCCTCCTCCCTGCTCACGCCGAGGGGAGGTTCCTGTAATTGCTATTGGGCATCAACTGGTTGGATGGGAGCCTTGCCCTTGCCTGCGGCCCTTAGGGTCACTGAATAGCACTCCTTTGCCGCAACCTGATCCCCATGGATATCAATCACCTTGCTCCCGTCTGGGCTCAGGCACCTCATCACTTGGTGTAGGGTTAAGGGGACTCCTTGTACCCTATGGATCCATCCTCTCCCCATCAACAGATTGTACGAGGGATAGATCTCCACCACGACAAAACTTTCGACCAAGTCCCTCTCAGCTGCGCGGACCACCAATTCCACCGTGCCGACTGGTTCGACTCGTTTACCATCGAAACCCAACAACGGATTTCCAGTAAACTTGAGCTCTTTCGGCTTAATTTCAAGCCGATCAAAAGTGACTCTAGGCATGATATTCGCACTGCTACCTGGATCGACAAGCACTCTGCGTACTAAGCACTCTGCCACTGTCAGACTGACAACTAAGGGATCCTCATGCGGAATCTGAACTCGCATCAGGTCCGTCCTATCAAACCGTATCTGTACAGCCGAACTCTGTTGATGCAGTGTGTTGACACTGCCCACTCGCCTCTTCATTTGCGCTTGGCGGAGGCGTGTTCGGAGCAATTCCTTAGATTCTACGGTTTGCTCAAGTCGGCCATGGATTGTGTTGATAATCCGTACGGGCTGAGCATTATGGGGGTTCGATTTTTGATTTCTCTTGACCTGCTCAGCTGGAGAACTTTACTCTTATGCCGGTCCTTGAACATACCCTGCAAACTCTCCTCTAGCGATCAGCATCTCCACTTGTCTCCTTAAGTTCCTGCATTCATTAGTCTGATGACCAAAATCACTATGAAAAGCACAATGTTTGGTTTGATCCCGCTGGTCAAGCGGTTGTCTAATTGGTAAGGAAGGGCGAAACTTATCTTTGTTCTCTTGGTACAGCCTTGCGAGTGTAACTTTGAGTGGAGTAATCGGGTCATCCTCTCTAGGCCTCTTCTCTGCCTTCCAGGAGGTCTGACGTTGCGTAGGAACTTGCTTCTGCCGTATCTTTGCTTTGGACTTTTCTTCCGTGGAGATGATGGATGTCTTCCTAGCGTTAGCTGCTTCTTCCTCTTCTAGGTGCATGAAACCATCGGCCCTCTCATTCAGCTCGTCCATTGTCTTCGGTGTGTTTACCACAAGACTGGTATGGAACGGTGTGCCTCGGGTCATAGCTAACTTGAATGCCTGAACTGTTGTGGAAGGATGACACTCTATCACCATGCTCTTGGTCAAGTTAAACCTAGTAAGGAAAGCTTTGAGACGCTCGTCGATATGTTGTTTCATGGTGAACAAGCTGGAGATATCTTTTGCCGGGTGTTTATTCCCATAGTATTGGCTTATGAATCGATCACACAAGCTACGGAAGCTATCTACCGAGCCCCTCGGGAGGTTCTTAAACCAATTGAGCGCCGGTCCAGCTAAGCTTGTAGGAAAACACTTACACATCAAAAGATCGTTCTTTGTGTTCAGTACCATCTTCAACTGAATATGATAGACATGATCAATCAAATCAGTCGTTCAGTCGAAAAGAATAAAAATAGGCATGGAAAACTTCCTCGGGCTCGGAGCATTCAGGATCTCATCGGTGAACGGCGAATCAACCGTCCGTGCTGCCGAACGGAGGGCTTCATTCTCTCTTTCAAACCTTGTGACAACTCTATGGTCTGTAGATCTTCTTTCCGAACTCCTATAATCATAGGTGGCCATTGAAGGCCGATAAGGCGGATCGACCGACCTTTCCTCCGTGAACCACGGTGAATTAACCTTGTGACAATCAAACTGCATATCCTGCTCGCGATTGTGCCTTTCCTGATGCGGATTGAGGGTTGTATTGTCATCCCGCCTAATATGCTCACGATGAGGATCGAGATGTACAGATCCTTCTCGATCCTCGGCTCGTCGAGCGTTTGGCGGCATATTCTCCATCCTAACTTCCTTGCGGTGGAGATTGACGAGGTTATCTCCTTCTTGCTCACCTTGATGTGCGTCATCAGGTTGCACACCTCTTTCACCTACCGGAGGTGGAGGTGGTCGCGTCGCAACCGAAACCTCTCGACGTTCCATTCCAACTTTCAACTCTGCATTTTCTTTTCTCAGTGCCTCGATCATGTTCATCAATTCGTCAAGCTTCATCTGCTGATTATTCTCCACTGGATTCGAATTCTCTTCTCCGATCATCATTCCGGATCGTAGCAAAGTCATCAACCACAAATTTCTGATCAGATCTGAGTTTTGCCGATGCTAACGCTCTAGATCTGGATTCTAGTGCAGCTAAATGTTGAGTATGACTAACCAGATCTGAATTGCTCCGGCAATAAACTTGCCAAATTCGGCAATTTCAGCGGCTCTTGACCGCTCAACTCTCCAAAACAAGCACAAAAGCTGAACTGCGTAGAATAGGCATATTTCGTTATGTGAGTTGTGGACGTCAAGTATGGGCCCTTGTCAATTGTCAGGCCCATACTTCGTTATGTGAGTTGGATCTGGCCCAAGCCGTCTTTAGCGTCCTCACATATACACAGGTAGGCTCTCATGTAGTCTAAAACAATGGACTTCTCAACGGACTAAAAGTCAAATAGTCAATTATACTTTACTACTCTATAAAATGTAACCATAGTTAAAAATATTAACTTTAATAGTGAATTTACCATAGTTAGCAAATACAATCTCTCTCCTCCTTAATCTCTTCCATCGTCCATTATCGCCATATCCACACCATCACAGCCACTGTCTTCACCACTACAACCACAACACAACTACCATATTCATTCTCCAATATCGGACTCCAAGGCTAACAGATCCAAGTCACTCTCTCTTATTTTTGCACTCTCTCTATCTTCTTTTTGCACTTTGATTTATTTATTTTTTATTTTTTGGTTCTATTAATTTTTTTCCCTTAATGGCCGGACTATTGCTCACTTATTTATTTTTTATTTTTTTGCTCTCTTAATTTTTTTCTTCAGACCCATTATTTTCCACACTTTGTGAATAGGCATATTTTTTTTTTTTTTTTTTTTTTAAGGGTTCAAAGGATACCAATTTTTTAGGGTTCGTGAATAAGCACAACCTCTAATAATTAATGGAGTCTCAAACAGAAAGCATATAATAAAAGGTCACCGTACATTGAGAAACTCATTTATATTTGATTGGATGGTCACTATTTCAATGCCATGAAAATTATAAAAGGTCACCATACATTGAGAAACTCATTTATATTTGATTGGATGGTCACTATTTCAATGCCATGAAAATAATAAAAGACTCTGTTTTTTAGTACAATGCACCACAAGAGCAACCCATTTGAAAAGAAACCAAACCCAAAAGCAAATTCAAACTTTGAATTTGCACTAAAAAAAGCTAAAAAGCGATATGCACCAGTCAGGCCATCAAGTGAAAATTCTGCTAAATAAGGCGTCGTCGACCACACGCCACCAACCAAACGCCCAAAAGAGCGTTAGTATCACCATTCCTCCTCCAAAACCGCCATGGCTGCAATAGTCAATTTGTTCATAGATTTGTAATCATTGCTTATGAAAAAAGCTTATTCAGTAATTATTCCACACATCGTTCTCAATTTGTTCTTTTAACCCAGCCATGCGATCTTAGTTACTTCCGATTAGAAATTGAGCATAGATCATTCAGAAATTAATTTAAGGATTGTCCCAAATGTATCTAGAGTACAGGAACCAATTGACATATTGGAAGTATATGATAGATTAATGGCATGAGAAGGAGTTTCCTATTTCAACTATGATAATTACAAGTGTCAAATTTTTTATTTTTTATTTTTATTGTCCTAAATTATAAGTTTCTGTTTCTCGCGCCCTTCTAAAATTTTGATATTTAGTCATCTTTTTTAACTGTTGTAGGATGTTATAAGAAATTCGACATAAAACACAATAAACAAAATCAGTAGGACATGAAACTTTTCAAGTCAAAACCAACTTGAGCATTATTATTACTATATATATATATAATGTAAATTAGATGGATTTTGAGAATGAATAAATTGAAACTACAGAAGTATTGACATAGTGACCACCCAATCAAATAGAAATGTGTGTTCTTTCGCTCATCCTTCAGTTTTCTTTTTTCTCTTCTGCTGTTAGAAGACCACGATATTCATCCTTTTTTCTTTAATGCTCTCAATGTTGAATCTATGATTTGCTATCCTTTTCTTTATGAGAGTTCGGAATGGTAGAAAGGTAATGAACCCTGCTATTGCTATTGAATACCCTCCTTTTGCTTTCTCAATAATGAATCCTTTGACCTTTTGATTTGTTTTCCAAATTTTGTTCAGCTCGGTTTTTTTCTGAATCTTCTTGGTAGAATCATCGTTTGCCCCGCGACTCTCTCTGTGTATCCCACCAAATCATTGACCCTTCTGCATAATTACTATATATATATATATATAAATTAGATCGATTTTGAGAATTAAGGAGGAGAGATATTGTATTTGCTAACTATGGTAAATTCACTATTAAAGTTAATATTTTTAACTATGGTTACATTTTATAAAGTAGTAAAGTATAATTGACTATTTGACTTTTAGTCCGTTTAGAAGTCCATTGTTCTAGACCGCATGAGAGCCTGTCTGTACACACGTATATATATGAAAATTGTGTATAAAACAAATAAATATTTGTATCCATCTTAGTAATTACTGTTCATAATAAAGAAGAAGAAGAAGACGAGAAGGAGGAGGAGGTGATTCTGGTCATTTCCAATTCAATGAGACAGGTAGCAGGGGGTACTTGACTTACTAGTTGTTGAAACAAATAGTCAATCCATCCCCAAAATGAGTGTATCTATACCTAGTATAAAGGTGTAGTATAATATAATATATATCATATATGTGTATTATGCAAATATATATATTGAATATTTATTCAAAGAGAATGATTAGATCTCTCATTCGACCTTCCTTGCTCTGTTTCAGAACCAAAGATCTGTCTTTTCTCACACATCGTCAAATTTTCAGCGTCCCAACAAAACCACCTACCAAAGGTCAGCAATTAGAGCTACGATTTCAATCAACAATCCAAAAAAGACCATTAGTTATTTGTTTAGATTACAATTGAGCGTAATCAATTATTTTATATCTGTGTTCTTCAGGCCTATTTAACGTTGTTATCAAGTCTAAATTTGGGAATTCGTTCAATTCCAGATCGATGTCAGCGTCCGTGAGTTCTCCATCTCGTGCCATGGAACAACCAATTGATAAAATTCTCGCTGCAACAAACGACAACCATGGAGGTGTTATTGTGGAAATGACGACTGAGCCCATGGACGCTGGTGTTTTCACTTCTTTACTTAGAGCTTCAATTTCACATTGGAGACAACAGGTAATAGTTCTTACAATTCATCTTCAATTTATAGTACCTATTAATATAATTCAAGTAACTAAAATGAAGCCCAATATACTTGAGTGTTGTAAAACCACGGTCCTCTCCTGTGTTATTTTCGTCTTGTGTCTGTCCTGCCTTGTGTCTTGAAAGCAACAACTATGTAAATGTGTTAAATTTTTGATTTAATGGTGTTACAATATTGCAACACCACGTAATATGTTGCATGGGTGTTGTATCTTCGATATAAATGTGTGACTGTTACATCCATAATGCTGATGTTGTTTTAAAATTAACTAGCAACCGCGGGAATCTATTGGTAAACAAGAACGAGGTCGAATCCAAGAAAATGCTCTGAAGTAAATTAATGCAAAATCCAAATAAATTTAAATTTATATTGTTAACCAAGTTGATAATAAAAATAAAAATAATGAGATTGAAATCAATACAAAAAAAAAAAAAAAAAAAAAAATTATTGGATTCCACTACCATTAAATTCATAAATATTCCATTATCCACCAATCAATTCTCTAAGTAAGAGTAGCAATCTAGACATAACTCTGTTGCTCTCAAAAGATTTTTATCATTCATACTCAAGTAAAAATATTTTCAAAACTAGATTTTCCTTTCGCTTGCAAGTTGTAAAATTCTGAGCGTACTACGTTTTCAACTTAATGAGAAACATAAAGATCGAAGATTGTTACTTTTTAAGATTATTAAAATTAAGCTTAAATAAATTATTCCTTATTCCTAACTACCACTAATACTTGAGAATAATGGTGAAAGAAACTTGTAACAATTAATCATAAGAAGTGAAAATCATAAGCATTGAAACCATACACATGGGAATCAATAAAAGAATAACAGAACTTTGGTTCATTGCAATTACTCTCAGGTGAGTATTGAATATCAGCTTTTTAAGAATGCAAGTGGCAGGGAATTAATGCTTATATGTGTGTGTGCTTGTATGTATGTGAATGCGTATTATGCATAAAAGTGCATTTGTTACTTTTTTGCTTGATAGATAGAAGTGCATTTGGTGCTTAATAAGCTGTTTGATGTATGCAATTTCGCTTTACATGCATGGTACCCTAGAGATGTTGTGTGTGCATAGATGTTGTTGAGGGTGAAATTCACGCGGTCCGATACGACACCGTTTTCCTGCAAAGAAAAGAGTAGAAGATCGATGAATTTTGATGGCACCGGTGTGGTGTCTGCTAAGAACTCTTCGACGATCAAGTCAGTCACTGGAGGTCTAAAAGAAAGGCAGGGATTTAATAATAGTTTTTTGTCGTACCTTTATTGACTGGTAGGATTTCATTCTTATAGTCGCTCTCCTTCAGTTCATTTGCGAGATCAGAGGAAATCCGTTTGTGCGAGATCAGGGGAGATCCGTTTGTTGTTAGATTTGCCGGGAATATGATTTAACCCTTTGACTTTCTCAATTCGTGCCAAGGTTATCTTATCCTGTCGAACCATATCATCTTATCTTTTCCTTGATAATGAAATATTATCATTCTTATCCAATGAAAATATCATCGTTCAAAAGTAGAAGAGATCTGGCGGTTGGTTAACACTTAGTTGCCTCTATCGTTAGGTCAAGGTAGGTTAGGTTTATTTTTCCCTATTAGTTGCCCCCCATTCCCAAACTTGCTCGTCTAGTTTTGGGAATGTAAATTTTTTTTTTTTTTTTTTTTGGCCCCCGGCACTGTTCCCTCGGGAATAGTGCCCCGCAGGGGTACCGTTCACTGGAACAGTAACTTTTTTTTGCCCTCGGGAACAGTGCCCATAGGTACTGTTCACTGGAACAGTAACTTTTTTTTTTTTGGGTACTCTTCCCTTGGATATTCTTCCCTTGGGCACTTTTCCCACGGGTAAGTTTTTTTTTTTTAGGTATCCTTGGGTAATGTTCCCTCGGGTAACTTGTTTTTTGGTACCCTTGGGTAATATTCCCAATGGTTAAACAGATACCAAATCAAGGTTCTTTTTTGGAAGGGCACGGATTCAAACCCATGGTCAATGACTCTTAGTGATGTAAAATTGGATTTTTCTTTTGAAAATCCAATATACTTGTTGTAAATTTTATGGGTTTCAGTTAGCCCATCCCTTTGGCAAGGGAATAAATTTTACGAGCTTCACTCAGCTTGTCGTCCCTTTAATAAGGGAATTAGTTTTTACGAGCTTCACTCAGCTCGTTCCTTTAGTACAGGACATTGATTTCCTATCCCTTATAGTATGGGGATATTGATTTCGGGATTCATTAAGCCCGGATCCTTTTAGTACAGGACATTTATTTACTATCCCTTATAGTACGGGGATATTGATTACGGGATTCATTAAGCCCGGATCCTTTTAGTACAGGACATTTATTTACTATCCCTTATAGTACGGGGATATTGATTACGGGATTCATTCAGCCCGGGTCCTTTTAGTACAGGACATTTATTTATTATCTGTTATAGTACGGGGATATTGATTACGGAATTCATTTAGCCCGGGTCCTTTTAGTAAAGGACATTTATTTACTATCCCTTATAGTAAGGAGATATTGATTACGGGATTCATTCCGCCCGGATCCTTTAGTATAGGACATTTATTTACTATCCCTTATAGTACGGGGATATTGATTATGGGATTCATTCAGTTCGGGTCCTTTTAATACAGGACACTCATTATCATCCCTTGTAATATGGGAGGTAGTCGTCTCGTCTCTCTAGTAAATGAAGGAAGCTTTAATTATCTCACCCTTCTGTATAGAAGGAGTAGTCGGCTTCTTGTCCCTTTAATAAGGGAAGAATGTGTTGTTGGCCCTTGGTCCCTTTAATGAGATAAATAGATTATTATGAGCTTAATATTACTACACAGGTAGGTAACTGAAAACGTAATATTTTATTGCGTAGAAATTGAGGGTCATCCATCTCATTGGTGATGGTGACTTTATTGGAAAATAAAATAACACGTGAAATGATGAACTGAGATACCCCCAGTCTTTATTCTGAATGACTTGATAAGGCTAATTCCAGCTGTGAGACAATTGTTAGTCGGTATACTTATCTGAGTGCTCCTCACGATATGTCCTATCGCTTTGGCTGAAGAATGATTTCTTATAGCTGGTATCCTTTTCATCCCTGGTGAGAGGGGCTGACCTCTTCTTGTCCTCTCCTTCTTTTCCCTTCCGTGCATTCATGGCATCTTCAGCGTTAATGTATTTCTGTGCTCTGATCAACAAATCTGCCATGCTGGTGGGAGATTCTTTAGATAAGGCGAATAAGAATCTGGAGGTTTGGAGTCCTCCTATGAAAGCAGTCAAAGCCACTTGTCGTCCACCTCTTTTACCTGCAACATCTCTGCGTTGAATCAGGTGATTTATTCCTGGATCGACTCTCCCTTCTGTTGCTTCACGGTAAGCAGGTAGGTGGCCGGCCTCCTGTGCCTCTGACCTACAATGAAATGGCTCACAAATTGCTTACTCAGTTCTTCGAAGGTGTTGATGGTTCTTGGCTTTAGCTTGTTGAACCAAATTCTTGTTGATCCCTTAAGTGTAGTGGGAAAAGCTCGGCACATGATTTCATCTGGCACGGCGTGTAAATGCATAAGAGCTTGAAAGGTCTCCAGGTGATCGAGGGAATCTTTGGTCCTATCGAAGCTTTCGAATGAGGGCATCCTGAACTTGCTAGGCAGGGGACATTTCATAACGGCGGGGTTGAATGGCAAATTGGTCCTTTGCACCAGGTTATCTATGGCGGCAAGGCCTTTCCCTTTCATAGCCTGCATTACATCTTCCATTTTCGCTTTTAGATCCTCGATCTGTAGGTCGAAAAAGGTAACTTTCTTTGTCTTTTCCTTAACACAGAAGGTTGTGCCTATTTGAGACTGGGAATTCCGTGGAGGCGGGGAAGGAGATTGTCTGTGCCGGTTTCCGACTTGGCTTTATTCTGCCTCGAACTTGTGAGAAGGATTGTTTTCTCGATCCTCCTCGTGTTGTCCCCCATCATTCAGATTGGGGGGATATGGGTCGGACAATTCTTCTTGAGGTGGTGGTCCTGCTAGGATAAGATGTTGCAGGATCTCTGCATTTTGTTGGATTAACTGGTCCATACCTTGATTCAGAGTTTGGACCTGTAGTTCTAACGCTGCAAGCCGTTCCTGGTCATTCGGGACGTCTGGGTGTTCACCCGATCCTTCTCTTTGACTGGATCCCTGCAACGATATTTCTGTTCCAGTTACTATACCGGACCGCAAGTGCATATACCCAACCGAGTAATTGATTTAAGGGAATCGTCGTTTCCCACAGACGGCGCCAATTGTTGAGGGTGAAATCCATGCGGTCCGATACGACACTGTTTTCCTGCAAAGAAGAGAGTAGAAGGTTGATGAATCTTGACGGCACCGGTGTGGTGCCTGCTAAGAACTCTTCGACGATCAAGTCAGTCACCAAAGGTCTAAAAGAAAGGCAGAAATTTAATAATAGTTTTTTGTTGTACCTTTATTGACTGGTAGGATCTCATTCTTATAGCCGCTCTCCCTCAGTCCATTTGCGAGATCAGAGGAGATCCGTTTGTGCGAGATCAGAGGAGATCTGTTTGTTGCTAGATTTGCCGGGGATATGATTTAACTCTTTGACTTTTTCAAATCGTGCCAAGGTTATCTTATCCTATTGAACCACATCATCTTATCTTTTCCTTGATAATGAAATATTATCATTCTTATCCAATGAAAATATCATCGTTCTAAAGTAGAAGAGATCTGGCGGCTGGTCAACACTTAGTTGCCTCTATCGTTAGGGCAAGGTAGGTTAGGTTTATTTTTCCCTATCAGATGTTATGATGTTTTTTGTGCTCATTTATTGCCTATTCAAATACTAAGAGGCTTGATCAACCAGGTTATAAACTATTTTTCATTGAATGTTCTTATAAATTCCTGTGTATGCAATGCTGATTTACCGTTCTCACATATGCAATTTCAGACTCTGTTTGTGGTTTCACATACTGCAAACTACTATGTTAAAGACTAATGGGTCATTGCGTGTTGCCCTTTTGAGCATATTTTGTGATTGTACTGCTTTGACATTTTAAATGATGCTGATGTTTTTCTTACTGAGTTACTAGATGAACGTGTTTTACAGGGTAAGAAGGGTGTTTGGATAAAAATTCCTATCGAGCTTGGAAATCTTGTTGAACCTGCTCTCAAGGTGACTTTTTGCTTCTATATAATTTTGTCATACTGAGAAATTAGAAGCACAGTTAAACAAAAATATTAGGTTGCTATTTGATTCACAGATTTGAATTAAAAAGAATTGGATGGATTGTAGCTTCAATGTCACTCCAACAAGATTCATCAATGGATTCGGGAGCCTTAGTTTGATGAATCTGAAATAAGGGTGTGAAGGACTTGTTTGTACTCCATTCCATTAAGGATTATAGTTACAAAAAGATCTGGTTGGATTTGTGTATCCCACTTTTACTCTCTCCTCTTCCTCATCCCTTATAACCAACCCCAATAGCCAATCCCCTCCCACATATTTGTATATTTGAACCCCAAATCCCCTCCTTCCTTAATCTATCAGTTCAATTGCAACCTCAAGTTTTCACAATCATTTTACCTTATTTGTTCATTAACCTTTAATTGATGTTCCCATGTAACATTTTTTATTTATTTTTCCATATGTTTCTTATATTGCTTTGTAGGAAGGATTTTACTACCACCATGCCGAGCCAAAATATTTGATGCTTGTACATTGGATTCCTGAAAGTGTCAATACTCTCCCAGTGAATGCCACACACCGAGTCGGTATTGGTGCTTTCGTCATGAATGGAAACAAAGAGGTAAGCCCCTGCAGCTAATCAATACTATTCTGGTTATATTATAGAAGCTTCCTGGTCCATGGGAAGCCCTCGCTTTATGTGGTACTATCAGAGGGCTGTGGCTGAACCAGTAGATGCTTTCCAGAATACATTATGATGAAACTCATCCAATTGGATGATTTTAATTATAGTTACTACAATCTAATAAAAGAATCTTTTATAAGGAATGTTCTCTCTCTCTGTTTACTGGAAATGAGTCTCATTGTTATCAGTAGTCAGATAATCCTTGCAGAGATTAGTATTGAGCCTGCGTTTTAGTGAAGTGAGAGTGATCAGTAATTGCAAATTTGTGGTTTGACAATTAACCATCAGACTATGTATTGTACAGATTAATTTTGTAGGCCTTGTTTATTCTAGGTGCCAGACGCTTCCTAGTCCCTAGATCATCCAGATTGGTCAATAGAACTATGTTCCATATGTTGTTCTTTTAACATTTTCTACAACGATTCTCTGTTGACTGTTGCATTGTCATTGCCTCGTGTTTCTCTTACGTAATGATGCTAACCTTGTTTCCTCTATTCACTTGTTTCACTTCCTACACTCTGCAATTGCTCTAGCTACCAGGATCTTACTTATCAAATCTAGGATAAACTTGCTATGGTGAAAAAAATATGGTGTTCCATTTATGGCCTTTTCCCCATAAAATAGACCTGGGTTCTTGACTTCTTGTAATCTAGATTTGACAAAAAATTGGCTAAATTTTAAATTTTCATACGGCAGTAGCAGAAGGCATCCTCTCATGTGTTGTACTTAATTTTTTCCTTAATATATTTTCACTTGCTTATTTGACCAAATTTGTTACAAGAATGGTTCTACTAAAATATTATGACTTCATCATTTGGCCAAATATGATACTAGACTCTGGGCGCGCGCCTGCTGTTTTGTCCACCATCAATCATTATTCTTTTATTATCATTAGTTTTAACTTCTATTATGCTTTTGCGCTTCGAAGTTATGATAGATACCCTTTTCCTCTTGATATGAGTATGGCATGCTCATTTCATTAATCATTACTTATTAGCTGTGCTGCCATGGATCTTTTAACATGTTCTTTTTGGATATCATGTTTTAATGAAACAATTAATTTGGATTTGTGAATTTTGTTCTTTGATAGGTGCTGGTGGTCCAAGAAAAGAGTGGACGATTCCGTGGAACAGGCGTGTGGAAGTTCCCCACAGGAGTGGTTGAAGAGGTATATGCGTTCAATTAAGTTCTTCATTGTAGTTATAATAAGAATGCAGTGTGCATTTTCTGAATTTGTTGGGTTCTTTCTTTTTTCAATTAACAGGGTGAAGATATTTGTGATGCAGCTGTGAGAGAAGTAAAAGAGGAGACAGGAGTAAGTGACAAGCGTGTGTTCTATTTTGTCCGTCCATTAATGAATAATAACATGTCAGTTTAGACATCATTTAACAATGATTTTTCTGAAGTTACTTGTATTTTTGCTTGTTCAGATTGACTCGAAATTTTTGGAAATACTAGCATTCAGGTATTGGATATGCTAAAAGTCAACTACTTTCATATGGATTCGAATTGCTGGGTTACATTCTTCCAAATTTCATCTAGCTGGTGTTGTGGAACTTGCATTAGTTTACTAATTTTCTAGCAACATGTCCTCATCACCAAATTACAGAGAGAAGCCTTATGACCTTTTGAATTTGTGTTAAGAGGCAGTAATTACTTCTCTACTAAAGGAAATAAAGAAAGCAAGTTGCTATCCTGCATCATTCACAATTATTATACATTTGCATCATGCAATTCCGCATATGTGGAACTGTAATGGAAGAACTAGGATGTATATATAATCCATGTATTCTTTCTATACCATTTTTCTGGTCCTGGTCTTTACCTTAGCTCTATATTTATTGCGTAATTCATTCACTTGATTTACAGACAAAGCCATAAGGCGTTCTTTGAGAAGTCAGATTTATTCTTTGTTTGCATGTTGCAAGCGCTCTCCTTTGACATCCAGAAGCAGGAATTGGAGATAGAGGCAGCCCAGGCAAGTTTTGGTCAAGATATTGGTTAATTAAGATACATATTTCCTTGTTATAGATATTACAGAAAAATTTAACTGCAGATAAAGGATTTTTAAGCGGCACTATTACTTTCAAAATGATTTTAGCTGAATTTTGTAGAGTGATAAAAGCTGAAAATGCTAGTATTTCGTATGTAAAGAGAGAAATGCGAGAATCAAATGAAAGGAAAACAACTAAATGTGGAATGCTTGATTTTGGACTGGAGCACTGGATGTAGACATGGCAAATGTATAATGTCAGAGTCGAAAAACTGGTGGCTTTCACTAGAGAGATTTTCAGTATACTCCAACCAGCCATTCTCTTCCAGTGTAAAGTTTTTTTCCATGAACCAGAAGCTGGGGTGTTTGAATGATCACTATGATTAAAAATTATTGGGATTTAAACCTACTGTAATGAAGTTCATGTGAAGAAAAGAAAAATTGTGTATTTGCAGAGTTAAACTTTGTTTGGATCAACAGAAATAGAAGGAAGAGAAAAGGAAGGAGACTGAGGGAAAACCTAACTTGTGTTTGTTTTAAAAAAGTAGGTGGAAATGAAAGGGTTTGGAAGGAGAAGGCGGCATTCATGTGGGGAGAGAATGGAGGGAAAGGATAGAGATTTAGTAATTATCAGTTTTGCCTTCCTTTTTTAAAATTAGCAAATGAAATTTCATTTTGCCCTTACCAGTTACCACTTACCACTCGACAAAAAACAAAACATTTCCTTACTTCTCCCTCCACTATCTTTCCAAAACACAATGGCATTATTATTGTCATTTCCTTTCTTTTCACTCTTTTAAGTTATTCAAAATTCAAACATGAGTAACGATTAGATCTATGCTAGCCTTTCTTGTTTTTTTTTTTAAAAAAAATTTATCTCATATCCTTTACTTTATTTTCCCTACTAGGTATCGAAACAAATTGTTAAGTATTCTCAAAATTCTGTCTTTTAGACAGTTAAACAAAAACTATATCAACAATACTTGCAGTTACAACCCTTACATGGTTTTTCCTACTACCTGCAGTGGATGCCATTCGACGAATATACAGCTCAACCCTTTGTCCAGGAAAACGAGCTTCTTAAGTACATGCTTGACATATGCTTAGCAAAGAAAAATGGAGAATATTCTGGGTTTTCTCCAGTGCCTACTACAACGAGTTTTTCTAACGAAAAGAGCTACTTGTACTTAAATTTGCAGGACCTGAACCGCCGCAGCCACTAAGATTCGCTTCTCTGCCCATAAATTTGAATCATTCTGACATCTTCATTCTGTAATTTTATTTACATATCACGTGATTCATCGTGACATTAATTCTATTTCAGATCATTAGATGTCCAGTGATGCCCTCTTGAGGAGAAGCGTAGTGGGTGAATTGTTTTCTACTTTTATGTATTTATTCCTTTTGAGCAATTGCTTCATGCTACTTATAAGTTAAAATGCACATGTGATATGATCTTACAGAGATTTCTAAGCAACTGACAATTACAGAATTGCAATATAAGTTGTCTTCTTCACTCCCGAGTGCATTTATTTAAGGTTCCAGAATATATATACTGATGTCAATTATTTTCAGGACACTATTACATTTATTACACAAGGTTCCCGTCTGCTGTTTTTATATCAATTGCTGGTTGTTGGGTGGTAAGAAATGCTAGTTTCTTAAGATTCTGGAGGAGTCTTTGCTCCATGCTTTACCTGTCATGAAGCGAGTGAGAGGATTTGGGTTCGGACTCTTGTAGTCTATGCAAAATTTCTTTTTTGGATCTTATTCTTCTTCTCTTTTTCTTTTAATTGTTTTTATTTAGTATGAGCTCTATAAATTCGGGTTGAAGGGGTTAGCGCTTATATTTTATGTATGCAAATATTTGTTACCTTTTTATTTATTATTATTGTTGTTGTTGTTCTATGTTATTATTGATGTTTCAAGATTTAGAAAAAAAAGGAACCCAGGAAAGAATATTTAAAATTCACTCCACACCCGTTTGTTTCGATGGAAACTAATGGAGAAAGTATAATGAAAGAAAAAGAAAATGAAGAAAGTATAATGAAAGAAAAAGAAAATGAAGTGAATGCCAACTTACATTTGATTAGCATGAATTTTTTTATTTGTAGTTATGAGAAATTAAAATATTACCTGGTAAGCCACAAGAAGTGCATTATGTTACATTCATAAAAGTTTAGGTTGTGTGGTTATGGAAAATTATTTTCCCTCAAAATTTATATATTCCTACTATTTAAATTTTACTGTAAAATTGTTGATTCTCATTTATGTCTGCTATTTTCATGTGTTCAATGGAGCCTCGATCAGCAAGTATAACCATTCCGTAGTTCTCACGAAGTCTGTTCAAGGGAGCCTTGGGATAGATCAGCAACCATAACCATTTCATAATTCTCACGAAGGAAGCTTTGAGAATTTTTAAATCCTTCTTGGCTTGGTTTGTCACGTTGTAAAACCTTTTTTGAAATATAATTTCTTATTTTTTTATTTGTTGGGTGTTTGGTTGCACATAAAATTGGCTTCCAAGATTTAAATTTAGGAGACCTCATAAGTAGGACTGCAAATGAACTGAACTGTTCATGAACAGCTCGGACATGAAGAGCTCGGACTCGACTTGTTAAGGGCTCAACTCGGGTTCGTTTGTTAAACAAATGAGCCGAATTTCAGCTTGATTTTTAAGTTCGTTTGGTAAGCGAGCCGATCCTGAGCAATGTTGGGCTCGGCTCGTGTAGGCTAGTGAATATGAGATCGTGTAAGTTCGTTTATGTTCATGAATTGTAAGCTCATTATAGGGCTCGTTTACATTTATTTTTATTTTTTAATGAGATTCTTTAATTTTTAAAAGTATAAGATAAATATACAATAATTTACAAAACGAGCCGGCGAGCTTAAATAAATTTTGACTATAAATTCAATTTATTTTCTTAAATGAGCCGAACCCGAATTTTTTAACACCATGACGACCCGAGCCCGAGCTCAATCTTTTCAGCTCGTCATGAGTCCGAGCCAAACGATAAACAAACGAGCTCGAACCCGAGCCTGAGCCCGAGTAGCATAAGGCTCGGTTCGGTTTATTTGCAGCTATATTCATAAGAGGGCAAAACCCGAACACAGCCAATATCAATACAATGCTAACAGCTCTCATAACAAGACACTTCGAAGATTCCATTTAACCTCTGAATCCACCATCATTAACCATTTTGTCCCGTCTACAAAGATAAGCCAATTCCCAAGTCTTGCCAAGTCTTGCTTAAAAATCCTTGGTAAAAAAAAAAAAAAGTCCATTGCCAAGCCTTCGCTTAAAAAATCCTTGGCCAAAAAAAACGTCTTACTTAAAAAAGAAAAAGTCCGAAATTATTAAAGCAAATGTCAAAGGTGAAAAATACGTGAGCCTGTTTGGTTTGTAACTATAAAAACAGTTTTTCTGCTATCAAAAAACTAAAAACTGTACAAAAAAGTTTACTTGCTTTTGTTTTCTGAAAACTAAGTTATAAAAAGTCATGTTTTTATTATTCTCCAAAAACTGTTCTCTGTTTTTTGAGAATTATTTTTAGAGTTACAAACCAAGTAAGCCTGTACCCGATAGCACCAAATGAACCTAGTGAGGTAGTTGCTATCGAGGCATAGTGATATCTTCTCACAAACTTACACTTAGAGATCCCATGAATGTGACAGAGGTGATCTCTTTGGACAAAGAAAGTTGTAACAGAAAGGATTTGCAAAAAGAAATGAGGATCTCAAGGCCTTAAGGTCTAAGAATATTTACACAAAGAGATTGATCTTCAAGAGTAAGAATCTCTGCATCTTATATATAACCTCTATATATGCATTCACACATTAATTTTTAAAAGGGCAAATTGTATCTACACAAACCTCATTTCGATTTCATACTTCCGAATTGAAACCCCATTTTTTTGCAGGATTGACATCTAGTAATTTGAAGGTCATTATAGCTACTCTCATTTTTATTTCCAATTATGTTAGCACTAGATGAGAGAGAGAGAGAAACATGTGAAAGAGAGATGGTTGTGTTGAGTGAAAATGCGAGGGATTTTTTTATAAGTTTGTTTTACTAGTTACAGTAAATGCAGAAATGAAAATTACATTAAGGAACAAACATAAAAGGAAACGAATTCAAAGTGCAGAAAATCAAAGGTATGTAAAATGTAAAGTGAAAAATGAAAGTTGTTGCTGACACTAGATACCTTCAATTCTTTACATATTCTATATAATACTTGTTGAGTCTAAAAAGAAGGCAGGATTCATAATAGTTTTACGTTGTCAAGGTTCATCAATCTTCTCCTCTCTTCCTTGCAGGAAAACGGTATCGTATCGGACTGCGCGAATTTCAGCCTCAACAATACTCATTCTCTGACCAACTATTTTTGGCATAACAACTAACAAGTTATTTCATAATTTTAGGAGCTGCATTTTCTACCATAATTATTTATGATCATAAAACCACCTGATAATTTTCTGCCATAATTGTTGTTGCCTTAAATAATTGTCACATGTCCGTTTCTCTAACATATGTTTTCCAGAGGCCCCAAAAAGGCAACCTAGTATCTACCAAAAAGACATGTCATCCATGAAATGTTACTCATTGGCTACGTTGGCCAAGAAGATAGGTTTGGGTGTAAATGCATGCACGATCCAGGTTGTTTGTCATGAATTTTGATGAATCAATCATTTTGTTGGGATAGATTTTCAAAGAGAAATTTGTGATGGGACTTTCAAGTCGTGGTGGTGGATTGACGGTAGTGATTTGAAGGTCATTGTAGCTCCTCTAATTGTTCTTTTTGATTCTAACGGTGGCGGAGGAGAAAAAGAAACATGTGAAAGAGAAAAAGAGTAAGACAGGCAGTTATGTCGACTGAAAAGATGAAGGATTTCACCAGTATTTTGGATAACTATGGTGAGATGGTGTTGGTTGACATGGTTGTTGTAGCAAACAGACGTGTATCTTCGGAAGAAAACAAGGGAAAATAACATATAAAAAAGTCATTCTAAATATCAAAAGTCCTTTTTTTAAAAAAATTAATTGACAAAAAATATATATATATATATTGACAGTAATTTTTACGAAATTATTAACTAAAATTTCAGGTAATGTAATTTAAAAAAAAAAATTGTAGTGTTTATTTTCACGCACGACACTTATTAGTGGGCCCTAAGAGCATCCACAGCCCAATCGCCAAACTCAATTTCTGCGAGCAGATCAGCCCAAATGTGCTGCATCGGACTCGTGCTAATTGGGCGGGCCCACAAGGGCTCGCGGACTAGCTCAAGCCATAGCCCGATTGCGGAAATATTATTATTATTTTTTTAATCCAAAATGTAGGGGTTTGGCCGTTTGGGCGCAGCGGCTGTTTTGTTTTTTGTTTTTAAAATCTGGCAGCTTTGGCAGAATAGTTTTTTTTGGGAAAAACTCAAAAATGGTTATTTTGTACTTGTTTTTATTATTATTATTATTATTATTATTATTTATTTTATTAATAAAATAAAATATATTAAATAAAAAATATATTGTTTTAGGCACTGTTTGTCCAAAAAAAAATAATTTGGGCAAAAAATAAAATAAAAAACCATTTATTTATTTATTTATTTTTTGTTTTACCCTTAAAAATTGATTTTTTAAACTTTTTTCTTTTAGAAAAATTTAAAAATTAAAAATTAAAATTTCTTATATAAATAGCTCAACTCTTACCACCATTCTTCATCTTACCTACTATTTTTAATTTATTTTTTGTTTTTTTAATCCATAATGGATAATGTTTTTTTATTTTATTTTATTTTTATTTATTTATTTATTTTTCCTGATTGGGACCCATACACACCGCCTCCACTGAGATTCGAATTCCTAACTTTCCTTTGAAAGGTAAGAGCCTTGTACCGTTAGGCTACATGTCTGTTGGTGATAATGTATTGTTGAAAATTATAATATCATTCCTAACTTTTTTTAATAATTTGCAAAGATATTATTTGATTGAAAAATATTACCATTGAATAACAATTTCATTATTTTTAATCTTAAAAATATTATTACATAATTAAAATTTTAGTACATAAAAGGCATGTGTTAAAAATATAGCGGTTAGAAAAAGGTAAGTTGTTTTTTTTTTTTTGGAAGACGAAAATTAATAGAGTGCCTGTTTTTGAATAGCTAAACATGTTGACGTGTTTTTGAAAATTACTGGTGTAACACTTAAAGAAGTTGAAATGATATTTTTTGAAGGGAAAATTACATATAAATGGAGTCAAAGTTTCATATTTACTTAGAGGCTGAGTCAAAGTTCCATATTTCTCTAAAATGGATTGCTGAGGTGGCACATAGTTTTTTACTGTTTAGAAATTGTGGTGCCTAAAATACCCTTCCGCGAAGGTACTACTTTTTCTTCGAAGGTACTACTTTTTTGAACTGAAGGTACTACTTTTTGGTGTCCAGGTACCATGTTTTTTAAACACCCGCGAAGGTACTACTTTTTCTTTGAAGGTACTACTTTTTTGAACTGAAGGTACTACTTTTTTGTTAGGGAAGGGCATTTTAGGTACCACAATTTTCTAAACAGTAAAAAATCATGTGCCACCTCAGCAATTCATTTTAGAGAAATATGGAACTTTGACTCAGTCTCTAAGTAAATATGAAACTTTAATTCCATTTATATGTAATTTTTCCTTTTTTGAAAGCAAAAAAATTCAAAGAGGCTGGTGCAATATGCTTTAACCCACCACTAAAATGGTAGAAAATTGAAACACGCAAAAGTACAGAGAAGTTACTGTGAAAGAGAAAATGACTTTGTCAAACGAATCTCACGTGACCTTCCTTCCCTTTAAGCCCAAACATGATTGGGCCACCCTATTTAGATCTTTCCAAACTCAGAGGAACCCATTTTACTTTGACATAACCATCATCATTGTTTTCAATTTATATCCAATAATAAAAAAAAAAAAGTGAATATCACAATTCACAATTTCACAGTTCTTTTTAGATTCTTTCAATTTCGATGAACTGATATTGCGCTACACCCACATACATACATACATACATATATATATATATATTTCAAATAATATATACATATATAGTACATATTGATGATGGTGGTGGGTAGGAGTATGATTATTTGGGGGAATCTTTATTTATAGATTCTAAAAAGTTTGGGGGTTGTTTGGTGTTTTGGGGGATAATAATGGGAAATGTCAATGGCAGAGAAGATGGAGGTGGTAGCCCTTCGGAGGGTAGCGTTGGTGGTGCGCAGGATGACATGGCCGCGCATGTTAGCTATCATGCGCATGGTGATGGTGAGTTGATGGGTCAGTCCCCTCCTCCTAGCCCTAGGGCAGCCCAGTCTCCACTCATGTTCACTCCTCAGGTCCGTTCTCTTCATTATTTCCTCTCTCAATATACATATTGTGTGTGTGTGTGTGTGTGTGTGTCTATATATATATATGGGTCCTAATGTGGGGATTCAGAATTGCATATTTCAGATGGGCAATTTGTTAATGTTTCAATAGGTAGTTTTAACGTGCAATTGATTACTGGATCTGCGAAAAATGTTGCTAATTCAATTTGTGCCATCATTTATTTTGGTGGAAAAGAGAAACCCTTTTTGTTGGGAATCGTTCTGGAGATTTTATTGATTGAATTGTGTGAGTTTTGGAGATTTTGCTAAATACTTTTTGTAATTTATCTTTTACTTCATTTATTCTCTTGAAACACTCACGTTGTTTGATGGAAGTCCCAAATGAATTGATGAGCTTTTAGCATGCCTTCCAAGTAGAGAAGTTTTTCAACAATGATGCACACAAATTATGAAAAAGAAAAGGGGATTGCTTCAAAGTTTTTGGATGGATTGATGCATTGGCTATGTTATTCATTTTGAGGACTTCTAATTTTAATCATACAAATGGTGACGGAAGGTTAAATATGGTCAAGATTGAGACATGGCTTGGTGTAATGTGGCATAAGTGTGGAAATTGATATCTGTCTGTTTGAGGAGAACTTGCTCAAAGAAAATTTTAGTGTAACCTGAGCATTAAATCCAGATACATTGTGCTACTTACTGTGTTTCATGCTTCCTTGAAGTATGTTCCTGTGAAGTGCCTGCTGTTTCTCATGATGTCCGTTCTTAGGAAAACATACAATTAAGTCGAGATTTTTCATCCTTTTTTTTTCCCAGGTCCCAGTGGTTCCGTTACAAAGACCAGATGAGATGAACATCCCAGTTCATTCATGGATGCAGACTACCTCAGGGTACGAAGACACGTGCAGTGAGCAAGGTATTCCAACAATGATTACTTGGAGCTATGATGGCAAGGAAGTCGCTGTGGAGGGATCATGGGATAATTGGAAGACAAGGTGATAATTTGGTCCTTACATGTTTTCCCTCATTTTCTAATTTTAATTTGTGCTTTTCTGAATTGCAATTTGATATAGAATCATTTTACCCTATTGATCAGAAAGCCCTTGCAGAGATCTGGAAAAGATTTCACCATTATGAAAGTCCTTCCATCAGGTGTTTACCAGTACAGGTTTATTGTTGATGGGCAGTGGAGGTATGCCCCTGACATGCCATGGGCACAGGATGAAGCAGGCAATGCTTATAACGTTTTGGATTTGCAGGTAATTTCAATATTCTCTTTTTAGCACTAGGTGTTCAATATATGTATGAGTGACCTGGTAGTCATATTGATTGAAAATCACACGAATCATTACAAAGTAGATTTTAGTTAAAATTTCAGTTGGGTTAATCTTTAGACATTCTTCCTTATTTTGTATTTTTTTAATTTTTTAAACTTTTTAAATTATTAGGAGCCCAGTGGTAGTATCTCCTCTATCTCTCAAAGTGGAAGGTTGAGGTTCTAGTCCCTGTAGGGACAAAGTGGGTGTGTTAGTTATTTGCTTGGACCAAAAAAAAAAAAGGAAGAAATATTAGTTTTGATAGTAAAGTTTAATCTTACGTTCTTGAAATATAATCAGAGAATATATGTACCAACCAACTCATTTGAACCCAATCACCGATGCCTTTTGCCAAACTAATTAGTGTTGCATTTACAAATTTTTGTAGCCAATCAGCTCCACTTGGGGGCATATATTCTATTTACTGACTATGTCTTTCTCACTGCCTTTCTCTTGGTCTGATAGCTTCTTCAGCTTAAATAAGTTTATCTTCCTTTTCAGCGCAGTTATTCTTCAATGCATGCATATGTCAAAACCATGTTAGACTACTTGTACACAGCTATGCTGCTTTTTCATGAATCCATTCAGCCCTTATTCTATATTATTTAATTTTTGAATGTTAGGCAAAAGGGTTGGAAAATTTGAAATTAATTTTGAACCATGCAGAAATGATCAAATGTCAATCTTTTGAACCTTGCAAAGCAAATTCTATAAGCTTCATGCTAAAATGGATTTCAACTCAATTCAACACAACATAACACAAGAAAGCCATGATTTTAACTTAAGGCGAAATTAAATTTACTTTTTTTGACAATCAGTTGGGGTCATTTGGAGACATGGATAGTAGTGAAATTGGAAATTTTACCCTGTTATACACTTGTACCTGCATGTTATAATTAACATCATTGTTTTGGATTAGTAGGATTAAGTGGAAACACTATTGTGATTTGCTGAAACATGTGTATAGAGTACTAACCGTAGCCCTTATGATATCTTAAAATTTATGATTATCTGAATTGGAGATCTCATGTTTCATACTTACAACTATAAATGATGGCGAGGACAATCTCATCCTGATGAAGTGGTGTCTTGTTACATGATTGCCCATACAACTTAATCAACAAAATCATGTCCCAACTATTGATGTTCGGCTTGATGAATTTTGATTGGCCATTTTATTCAATATAATATTATAATTTTGGTTGAATCACATGCAAAATTTTTATTTTTTTAACGTCAATTAATGTAATATTGTATTTTCACTTCTCTTGCTCTCTTAGCATCATCTTCAAAGTGTACCACACCACTATTTTCCATTGGTGCAATTATTGGTTTTCACTGCATATGACCAAAACTATTATGACAAACCCAACGAACCAAGAACAAATCACGACAGAAAAACAAGCACGCCACACCCAAAGATTTACGTGGTTTACCCAAAATCTAGGTTACGTCTATGGCGAAGATCCGGCGAAATATTCCACTTTGAGGAGATTACAAGTTTCAACCCCCAAATCCTCTCTATACACTGGGCTACAATAGTATTGAACAGGGTCCACGACCCGTAAGCGAAGAAAGGGTCAAAACAAAGCCCATTTTCGGGTCCTATATGGTGGATTTATATGTTACTATCGTTTCTTATATATGATGTTATCACTTTATAAAATATATTTTTGATCAAATTTTAGTATTTATTGGATATCATGGATGAATAAAGGATGCTGATATTCACGTTCCACTAGTGTCCTCTGGCGCTCCCCTCTCTTTTTTGTTTATAATGAAATTACAAAAGTGTTCTTAAACCGCAAAAAACTTGGTCTTACATTTTTAATATCATACTTGCCCTTCTCTACTAAAGTAGGACTCTTGGAATTCCAATTCATTCGTCTTCTCTCTCATTCTCTACTTTTAATGCATCATTTTAGTTTAGATTATAATGTTTTTTTTTTCTTTTCACGCCAAGAAAAGAGATATAATAAATCAAACATCACAAACATTACAAACTCCTTCTGGATAAATTGATAACTCCCTTAGGCAAATTTTCATCAAAACACATCTCTACTTTCTTCCTTAGCGAGTTAGCGCTAAAGTTCCCAACTTGTGAGCGACCCAATTCTCTGCTCTACGGATGAAGAGGAATTTTGGGAAAGGAATTTCTCATTGTTTTGAGTCTCAGCCTTCACAAATTTCTATAATATATATATATATATATATACATACTGTAAATATATGTACACTATATGATATACTACTTAAAAGTAGTTAATTTAAATATATAATAATATAATTTCTAAAAGTTCCCTTCTAAAATCAAACAAGCGTTCCTTGTCTTGCTTATTGAATTTATGTAAAACATAATTCTATTTAGGGTAAATTACACTGAACTCTTATGAGGTTTGGGCAAATTACACATAGTAGACCGTTTCATATTTGTTTCTTTGACCTGTTCGCCGGTGGTCGGAAGGTGACTTTGAGTGTGAAAAGTCAATAATGCCATTTTCATACCAGGGAAGGGCAATATTTTCATACAAGGGAAGAGCAAATTTTTTTATTTTATAAAATTTGGTCATCAGATCTGCTCAAAAGAAAATGCTAGGGGTGTCGTTGAACATACGCGCCAAATCTTATTAGGGGAGGTCAAAGAAATAACTGGTAAACGGTCTACCCATGTGTAATTTGCCCAAACCTCAGGGGAGGTTACTGCTAGTGTAATTGACCCTTAAAACTAGGCTTTCCTTTATATTCAATTCAATTAAACATAACTTCTAGGGGAAAAAAAAAGCAATTATAGATTAGTAGAGATTGGTTTGTTGTCCAATTTAATGTTTTTCCTCTAATGAGATGGGTTTTATTCATTGATATAAAGTTTACTTCCAACTCAAATACTTTTTATTATAATATCGCATGCTCTTTTTTATTTTATAATTTATTTATTATCTTAATCACCTACATTTTGATCGATATTTTCTCTAGTCATTATATTGAACTAAACTTTTCCACTTTTAATTTATCGACAACTCATTCCACCTCTAGTCGTTTCAAGAGTACAATAATAGTGAAAAAAAAATAGCAGTACAAACAACAAATGAGTAAAGGTACGCTCCTTATATTAACTAACTACTAATATGTTAAATGTTAAAAGACAAGGTAGCATTAAAAATGTAAGAACCAAACATTGTGTGGTGTAGGGACTCTTTTTTAATTTCATTTTAAAAGAAAATGGAAGTGGAGTGCCTGAGGATTTTGGTTGAGCGCTAATATTAGCTCACATAAATAAAATAATTAATTATCCTGTTCAGAAACAAACATGATGTTTAGTGGCTGGTTACTGGGTTACCTGCCATCCTTTTTTAACAGGTTGCGAGATCAATCCTTACAACATCAATTTGTTGGATACTTTTATATATTGTAGAATATTTTATATAACATAGTCCAGCACTAAACTGGACCCAACATGAACGTGAAATAAGTATGTGCCATCTAGGTGGGACGCATTCATTTGCCCATTAAGTGAAGTCGCTTGGAATTCGCTAATTGAAGAAACAAATCCGCGGATCTTGGACATTTATCTCACATTAGTGTTACTCAATATAACTGTTTTAAATTTATTTTTTGGTCTTACCATAAATTCATATCAACATCTGCATTTCGATTGCACTCATTTTATGAACATATCATATTTTAAGTTTTAACTGTGTAACATTTTGTCCCATTAATATGTTTAGTAATAACATTTTATAGAATTTTCCTTCTAATTTTGAAGGTATAAGTTAGTCAAAGAATATGTTAGAAGCAATAATTCATTTAACCCATCCTGCATTATTCTACAAACTAGATCTTCTTTTGTGATTAATTGAGCCCATGTAATAAAAATATTTGCTTTTTTGCTACCTCTTGATCCCCTTGATCTTCACTGCATTACTACCTCTTTTTTTTATTTTCTTTATTTTGCTGAACTTACATTCCATATATGCTATTTATTTTTAAATCTCTTTATTGTATTCCATTTCTCTAGTAATCTAATGTAGTATTAATCATTGCTTTAATTTCATGAATCAATACAATATTATTAATAAATATTATACATCATTGAACCTTATTCTGAATATGTTTTGTAAGTTAATCCACAATTAAGATAAGGTCAACGTTGATTCCTAATATATGCCTGCAGTAATTAGAAATTCACTTATTTTTCTTACATGTATTTTTGGCTTTATAATATATGCCCTTTATCATATCAAAATATTTATTGGTGACTCATTTCTTTCTAAATCCCACAATATTTATTGGCCCTGTTTGGCGGAGCTTTCACTTTCTAAAATTCCTTCTACTCAATCGGCTTTGAAGAATGCATTTTGATAAAAGGAATTTAAAACAAAAAAGTTGTTTGGTGGATAAATTTTTTGAAGCTCTTTTAACTATTAACATAATTTAACTTGACAATTATATCCTTAATAAACCATGAATAATACCATGAATAATAGTAAAGAGTTGAATTGGAATGCACAAAGAAGGAAAGAAAAAAAAATCATAATTAAAGTGATGGAGTGAAATTGCTAATGATACAACAACGATTAATTGGCATAGTGAAGATCAGGATATACAAATTTAACCCAATCTACATGGTAGAAATTTTTTTTTTTCCTTGACTACATGATAGAAGTTGAAAGAGATGGTCCTTGACTACATGATAGAAGTTGAAAGAGATGGAAAAAAGAAAAGGAAAGAAAAATAAACAAAAGAGAGAGATGGCAGCAAAAATATTCCATTTTTATTCTTATTTATATTTATAAATCACTTTAACAGCGGAATGGGTAGCCTTCAAAAAAGAAAAAAAAAATTATACACACACACACACACACACACACACACACACACACATATATATATATATATTGTGTGTGTGTGTGTGTATATATATATATATATATTTTTTTTTTTTT